CTTCAACCCGCATCGATTGAGGAGGGGTGTTGGTCATGTATGGCCCAAGCCTCTCGGATGTCGTGTTGTTCTGTTCTCAGTGGCTCACGCCAAGTCTCGTGCTCGACTGTCATCGGGATGATCTCACAAGACACGAATGTCAATGATCATGAATGCTACTTCCAATGCACATTCAATGTGCATTCAATGCATAATCATAATGGTCAAGGCGTAGGCTAGGCACGGTTGTACTGATCCTAGTCGTGTGATGCATGTTCAGCCCGATCCCTTCTGACATGCTTACGTTGCTGATGTATGATTCATCTCACCCAATGAACCAGAAAGGGACTACACCAGCCAGAGATCGCAAGTCTCAGGCAGGAGTATCAAGATTTGCTTGCATTCAAGATTCTGACTTTGTGTTTCCACTGAGAAACGAACCAAGGCGCGGAGGCCTGTGTTCTTGTGGTCCAACATAAATAGTACTACCACCATAAGGAATATGTCCTGCGACCACCGTGCTCCCCGTTTCCTCTGCAAAGATGATTTCAAACTGCTGCAGCATCCTATGCCAGAGTCTGGGTACTATTTGCTTGGTAACAAACTCCGTATCCACTACGCTCAAAAGAACACTCTGCCTTTCTTTCATCTTGTTGTAGAAGTACTTAGATGATATTTTTGCGATAGAGATAGTAGTGAAACATCAAAAGAAAAAGATTGCTACCTGCTATACGAGTTAAAGCAGCAGCCTGACTACGTGTCAACGCTATTTAAAGGGATAGGATAGGAGTGGACCCGGCGATAGGAGTTGAGCCGACGTTGCACCTTCAGAGGGGTTTCTCACTCTAAGCACTGTTGGAATCCACCAGAAAAGCGATGACAAAGACTCAACTCTTATCAGTCAGACTCAGAGGCACTTTAATGTTGCAATTTTTAGGGACTACGAACGATCTCCTAACCTCTTTAGGAATTCTTGTAGGATTATAATAAGCTTTGAAGCAGAGACCTCTCAGTGCTTGAACTTGACCTACATTTTTGTACACTTCATAAGATTAGAGGACTATGATAAATAAAGCAGCCCTGACAACCTGACAACGGCTGCTAATTAAGGAACAACCATTAGTTCGTTGTTTATTTAGGACACCAAATTGGACCTCTGCTACTTAATCATGAAAAGTCTTTATTCTTAACAGTAGTCCCCACAGCATTTTGCTTGTTGTCTTCATCAGAAAACTCTTCTGCGGGAAAACAGGCACAGAAAAATTCACACGCAGATCCAGGAAGGCCAGCATGATCTCGGTAGACTTAGAATATGCAGGAGAAGAGTGAGAGGCCAGGAGAGGCAGAGGTATGAGTGATGGGGTTGAAAAGTACGCTAGATGGCCTCTTGGAAGCATGCTCTACGAAACCTACTCTAGGAGACATACTCTTCTAGGAAGACTGTACTTGAAAAATACCTACAACATCAACTACTAAAAAGTGCACACAGGAGCTGCTTCATAAAACATCAACTAGTACCTACTTTACAGCTTTATTACTTCATCAACCTCTAGTAAAAAGTGCATGCAACTCCTCCTTCATAAGCTTGATTTACTGCCAATTCCCAAACAAGGAAACGAGCCACTAAAGCCGAATAAGCTTCCCAAACTATCATGGCTCTCCGCTCCGCGTCTGTGCCTCTATCGAGTAAAGCAATATCAAGAAAATGCCGCAAAACGGCAGATATCTGTATATATGTTGATGTATAGAACTAGCTAGCAATTTGTTTTCCCGTGTCAGAAGATGTTGTCTGTCAGTCAGCACCAAGATCATGTTTGTAGTACTTATACGCGACAACAAGAATGCCTATATTGATATTCTACAAGATAAAATGGAAAAAAGTGACTCGAGTAGAAAAAGTACCCGATAAACAGTACTACTAGCACTATACCCGATAAACTGCCCCTGCACTACTAGCACCACTCGAACCGTCTGCACGCTCGAGCATGCACGAGCGGAGCAACATTCGCGTACTGAAACGCAAAAACGCGGTACGACTGGCCCGTATCTGCTGACCGGGTGACTGTGAATCCACACTCGTAGACGCATGTTGATTAGAAGAAATTGATTGGAGATGATGAGAGACTAACCGAGGATGATCATGAGAGATAAATGTATGCTTCATTATTAGCCCTGTGCTTGAAGTGGGTGTACATGTTGAGTTGTGTCTTGTGGAGGAGCTATTTGAGGTATAAGACAGATTGATTAGAAGAAATTATGATTGAACGGACTAACCTAGGTTGATGAGAGAAAAATTAACCGACGAAGGAAACATGCTAATTATAGGGAAGCAAGATGCAGCATAAAAAGATTTCTATCCTCCTTGCGTGAAGGCGTGCGTTTTTTGAGGCTAACCCGGTTGGAGGGCTGGGGCGATCGTGCCCCAAGCGCCACCGCATTTTCTAATTAGAAGATGAAGTCGCGTTGGTGAGACGCAAACGCAGAAAAAATCTCTAAACCAGACTGAAGTCGAGACAATATGATAGGAGGCAATTTGAAGAAAAAGAACATCCTCATCTTCTACGATCTTCTACATTTTTTCTAGTAAAATTTAAATTTAATTTTTTCTAGAAGAGTCTACCACGACTCAATATCATCGGGCATCAAAAGGTTGTAAGAGCCATAATCCACTGCTGTAGGTGTGGAGGGTCCACCTTCAATCGCTGTCGTCGTGGTCTCTTCCCCGTTCACGCTAAACGACACTCGCTTCGGTGAACCCAAGGCAGCTTCAGTGGGGTCATCTTCTTTATGTCCACCAATTTTCTTGTTGTCTCTTGGAGGCGATGCCGTGGTAGGCGCTACACCTGCTAGTGGTGCCGTAGTACTTTTACTACTCGTAGAGGCTGTAGTTGTTGTGGCTGAAGAGGATGTTGTTGTTGTAGCTGCCACAACTGTACTAGCCTCTGTAGCTGGGGATATCAATGTGAATGTTGTCCCTCCTGTCTTCCCATTCGCTCCTCCCGTCGCCGTCTTCCCGTCAAAAAAGAGACTAGCAGCAGCACTATCCTTCATTCCGAACGAAGATCTTCGCGTCAGTGTCGTGTTCGTGGAGACTTCTTCGACAGAGCCTCCTTCAACACCTGTCCCGACAACAGGACTCCCATTATCGTCTCCAGCTTCTTCTTCTGAAGCAGCTGCCAATCGCTCCTGTGAAGCGCTCACTACATATCCTTGTGAAGCGCTCACTACATCTTCATGGCCTTCCTTGTAAGGAGCATAAGTTGTAGCAGGAGGTGAAGTAGTTGTACCTGAAGTAGATGAAGGCAATACCTCCACCGCTTGCGTAGCTTTGGCTTCGGTGGGATAATCTGCTCCGTCTTTACTAGCGGACCTTTTGTTTAGAGGTAGGCTTTTGGTGTTCGTTTACCCCGTTCGTTATGCCTTTCCCCCTTCAGGAAGGCAAAACGAACGGTAACAAGAACACCTTTAACCTACTCTTAAGTTGTCTTCAGCAGTAGGATTCGAAAGAGTTGGATTCGAAATCTTACTACCTCCTTTCCCTTTGCCTCGATCCTCTGCTCCTTCCACCTGGTCTAGAACTACCACCTGGTCTAGAACTACGCCACCTTGTGCGGAGCCTTCTTGAAGATGACCCTCAGCATCAGACACTACAGGACTCTTCCCTTGCTGACTAGTCGTGCCCACAACCGTATCTTCAGATACAACAGGACTCTTCCCTTGTCGACTAGTCGTGCCCACAACCGTATCTTCAGTTACCACAGGACTCTTCCCTTGTCGACTAGTCGTGCCCACAACCGTATCTTCAGATACAACAGGACTCTTTCCTTGTTGACTTGCGCCAGTCGTGCCTGGCCTGACTTCTGCTGGAGCTGGACCCCCTACTACTGCTACTACTGAGCTAACAACTCCACCAGCTGCTAATCCAGAAGCTGCCGCCCTTTCCCGATCTATGATAGCTATCTTAGAAGTTGTATCGTCAAGGTGCAAATCGAGACTTTGATGATCTGCTACGGCAGTCAAATTCAAGTGCGCTTTCGCCAGAGAAATGCGAGTATTGCCCTTTATCTGCCTACTCATCGAAGATGAAGGTCTAGTTATACGCTCGCTTCCGTTCGGACTACTGCTCGTACTAGTTGTACCAGTCGTAGCTGCTGCTGTGCTGCGATCATTGTTTACCACCGCAATGCCGAGAAGTGTTGTGCCGGGAGGTGCATTCACATTGATCTCGCCATTCGCTTTTTCTGTATTACTACTATTAGAGCTCAAAGCGTTTCATTTCTTGCCTGCATTTCTTCAGAATCCCAAGAAGGAAACTGCAAGAAATGACTTGTAGAAATGAATTGTTTTGAGCCTTAATACTATACTTATCGTCCACTAGATTTGCTATTTTTGTAGATTCGTCCCCTTCTGGAGCAGGGGCGGCGCCTTCTTTTGCACTGCCAGCAGTCATCGTTTTACCTTGCCCATCTACATCTAGAATGCGGCTCAATATCGACTCAGAAGATGCTGCTAGCGCTGCGGTGTTCATGACCTTGGAATTCTTAGCTCCTGCCGTCGTCGAGGAGGTCGATTCCTTACTACCTGTCTTCCTCCCCACCACAGCAGCAGTGTCCTTGCTATCTGTCTTACTTCCCGCCACAACTACAGGGGTTGTCGCATTTTTCCGTGACGCGAAGACGTTCCGAAGGCGCGTCTTTAGATTATGACTCCTAACCTGCGAAACATCGTACGAATTATCCTCGACGTGGTCGTAAGCACGCGCGAAGAGAAACGTCGGAACTTGCTTATCGAAGACTGACCCCGACGTTTGAAAATGAACGCTCTTTGTGCCTTTCGCCGAGCCGCTTTGTAGGTTTCACATTAGAAATTTTGATCCCTATTTACTAGGAGCTACTTATAAGTTCAAAGACGTCCTTTCGACTTTTAGAAGACATAACTCTCTGAGAATATAATCACCGCATCGCAGACAAAACTAGAAAGAAGATGGCGTCAGCTAGCCGCTACCTTGATTCAAAATGGAATTCTAAGTCATGATGTTCGAGATGAAGATGGGTGCTTCCTAACTTATACACTGTGGAGTTGCTGGCTAAGCTGATCGTCTGATGTCCTCGAGTGTCGGCGAACAGCGTACTCGATGCATTTCGCCTCGCAGCAGAGCCAAACAGGGTCATGCGTTTCCTCCCGCCCCCACCCGTACACAGACCGCGACGCCGATGTGGGCTGTTTCTTAGAAGATGACAGAAAGTCTCAACGTTGCTATGGAGATGAAGGCTAGAGGGTAGATACTGATTCTGTTGGTCTTTTCAAAAGAAAAGAAGGATGATGTACCTGCTTAAGTACCCTTGGCTCATCCTGTAGCCCTTTCTTAACTTATCGTCGGTCTCTCCTTCCTCCTTACTATCTTCCTCATGCCCTCCAACAGCGAAGCTTGTGCCATCGCTGGCAAGGCAAACATCGCCAGCATGATCGTCATCTTCTTCTTCGACCACAGTTGCAGGAGCTGTACCTTCGTGCATCATCTTCTCTATTTGAGGTCGGTCATCAGTCTGGATCTGGGGTGCTAGGAGTAGTAAGCGCCTTCACAAGCACAGTTAGACAACAGTAGGCATGTTCCTGAGCGCCTTCACGAGGGCAGCCTTCACGAGGACAGTCGTACACCAGTGGGCTTGTCGTATTCAAAAACGCATGGACGATCAGCGTGGACCATTTTTCCGTAGTACATCAACATAGCTAGATGACTACTACAACTAGAACGGCTACTAACTAGAATCTCAGCGAGGCACCTGTTTAGATAGATAGATGTACCCACTCACGGGCTATAAGATCTTTAATTAGAAGTTGCATCTCCATACACACACACCTCACACCTACACAGCTTGCATTCACAGCTACGCATAACAAGAAGATCAAAATTTTCAACAAGAAGATCAAGGGGTGGGTTACGCTCAACAACTAAGGCTATTTGACAAAAATAAGCTATGTATTGTCTTCTATTACTAGCTTCATTCAAAAAACATAATTAATACGATGACATGCACAGAAGTGCTGCACGCTAAAGAACAAATACTAGCTTTTGTGGCCCTCCGCGTAGGATAGAATAGGATAGCATTGAGAGCAAAGGGAAGATATGGGGCAGAAGCATGAGGGGAAAGGGTAGACCAGCGGGGATGGCTCTCATCCGGGCCACAGCGAAATCCTGTTGCCGGCAGATTAGACCGATATGACACCCAAGAGACAAACACTTTGAGTTTTTCTGACCTCTATTTGCATAAGCACGAAGAACCGATGCAGAGTTTCTCTGACCTCTATTTGCTTTTGCACGAGTACGAAGCGCCGACGCACTGAGTGACGCTGTGAGAACCTTCCGAAAACCAGAACGCATGCAACGTAACCACATGAGTCGGAAGATACTCCTCGGTCTTTGTTCCATTTGTTTGAACAGAAAAGTAAGGCTCGGCTTCCTTTCTCTGTTTTTCTTTCGGCATAAGCCTGCGAAGCCTTCGCTTCATCTTGTTATTGATGAACAGACCCCACTGTGTCTATCAATTTGATGGAGGAGCAAATAGCATCTCGCCTCAGCTACAATTGATACCATGGAGGTCGATGATCATGAGCGTGCCCAGATAGCAAAGAAAAAATACATTTCAGATACATTTGTTTCAAAAGGCGAGCTGTCACAACTAGCAGCAGCAGTTTCTTGCGTACAATTGTTCCTTGCTTTCTAGTAACTAACTAACTAGCCGCTGTAGGCACAGGCACGCATGGTACACAAATATCAATACAGCACGTTGCTCCACGGTATGGAGAAGTCCATTGCCAAGAATATGTTGTATCACAGTTGCTTAATCATACACTCAAGAAAGTGGATGTCGGAAAACAACAGTCACATTTTAGAAAGAAGAAGACGAAGTCATTTTTTGCTAAGATAGATGGATGGATGTTGGATGTTTAGTTACTTGTACATAATGTTGCAGTCGTTTAATTTCATTTTTAGTCCATGGATGTTGGATGTTTAGTTACTTGTACATAATGTTGCTGTCGTTTAATTTCATTTTTAGTCCAACAAAAAACAACAAGTCTTAGTACTGTTTTAATATTCTTAGGCTTCCAACTACTTACACACCTCTTTACTCAAAAATCTAGTCACAGTTTACTACTACAAAACTTACTGCAGATGTCTTAGAAGCAGTAGCTCTGATAACAGAATCGTTGCCGGATGGTCCAAATAGAAGTAGGTTTGAGACGCTGTAGTTTGAGCTACTACTCCTAGCAGGTTATATATAGTGCTAACTACTACACACTTACTAGTCGTAACTCAGAAGCTGTAGGGATCGTTGGCCCAGTCAAAGGCCCGATTGCGGTTCGGATTGGACGCCCAAGGAGTCGTTTTTCTCCACTTGTCAAAGGCCTCGGGACCTGTAGTGTTAGAGGTCGCTCTTATCACCCATCTACTTCAGACAGTAAAGAAATATACTTCCATCCCACCCAATATCCTCGAGATAGTTTTGATTCATACTTCTTGAGGACCTCCCCTTGGACGCCTCTCTCCTAGGATGACTTCATCTCAAATGTTGAATCATTAGGAGAAGCAGATCGATTGAGATTCTCATGCTGTCGGGCAATGCAATCTTCCGTTTATTTTATCTATATGTCCACCTCCACGTCCACCAGAGAGATGATTCGAAAGTGTAAGTATCAACAGAAGTAGCAAGCCTTCAACCCACCAGATCATTTGAAAGTGTGTGTGACTGGGTAAATATGAATTACATTTACATATAAGAGAAGCCTTAACATTCCCGACTAAATTCGCGGTCACGCCCACCGTGCCCAACGTTGGATTTATCGACGCCAATCCCGCTGGTCGCACATCTGGCAGTGAGTTACATGTTCGAGAAAAGTCTTCTACATGATCTATAATCTATAAATATCTAATATTTTGCGAATACGGTTACGAACGACCTCCCCACTATCTAATATGAACTAGACGTACTCGTCTCCAAGAACTCTGTTCATTACTAATACGCAGTCGAAAAGGAGGACATCTACATTCTTAAGAAAAAGAACGTCAGTGTCTATAACTAATAAAACACATTGATTATTAATAGGACAAGTAGTAGAAAAGACGAATTGAAGGATGATCAACCTTGAGGACGAGAAAGCAAGCGACTAACTACTAGCCACTATTAAGTGGAGGTTATTAAATAATCGATATGCTTAATATTAGATAGTACTCACAATCGATATACAATGTTACACTCACAATCGATACATCTACATTCTTAAGAAAAAGAACGTCAGTGTCTACAACTAATAACTAATAACTCCACTTAATATTAGATAGTACCACTCATCCTCGCTCGCAACGTCGAGTCCAGATTGTCGTACTCCTTTGTCCGTTGCCTGATATCCACACTGTTAGCGGTTCAGAGTGAGAAAGAGAGAGACACTTGAAGTCACATCTCCGTCTTTGAGAGACTTTGAAGCAGAGTCCTCTCTTTGAGAGCTCTCCTGTGACTTCTCTTACACAGAGGTCCAGCCCATTGTGAAGCAACTGCTCTCTCTGCTCCAAAGTCCATCTCCCTCAACACTTTGAAGCAGAGAGAACAGTGCAAAAGAACGTGTAGCACTGACTACAGTACACTATTCATTCTAGATGTAATTGTCTAAAAATTCTCTGAACCTAGAACTCACAACTTTCTGCATCTGAGCCTAGACGAACAGGTGAACTATCGAGAGCCTTAACGCTGTACACGTATGGATTTTCACTGAACTCCCTTTTTGTCGCTTCTTTTTGGTTTCCCTTCATCGTCGCCATATATTCCTCATGGCCAGTGTTGTTTTTCTCTGAGAGGTCGTGGGGACGAGGGGAATGTGCATATGTTGAGGGACTCGGATTGGAAGTAGACAGTTCATTCATTCATTCATTTACCTGTTCTGGAGGTATCTTTTGACGCAAGTAAGAGGAGGTAAATTGAGGAGTAAATTGGAATTCCAGCATTTTCCAATGATTTTTGTTTGAAAAATTTTAGAAGATGGGGATCGTAAATTTCTCTAGGAAGTCCGTCGTGAAGAGGGGTGCGATAGGGATTTCAAATTTGAGATGAGTGTCAGTTTTTTAAGTAGCAGTTTAAATCAGTTCAGCACGATACAGTCATTGTCAGAGAGTGATGATGAGCATCTGCACGTCTAGAACAAACAAGACTAACAAAAACAAGAGTCGAAAGTAAGTACGTCGCAATAAATCCAAGAAGTCCCCTAGTACCTTAAATATAATCCAATTTAGATGTTAGAAGTAGACTAAAAAATCTCTACAACTCAAAAGTGTCAACGAACAGTGTTTGAAAATAGATTAACCAGTAGTAGTAGTAGTAGTAGTAGTAGTAAACCCATTCTAGGGGTACATCGTGCTTGATCTTGAGGAAGGGTGGGGTTTATAACCAGTAAGCTGCTTATAGTACCACTAGCAAAGTCTCGGATTTGGACGGTTGCTCTAGCCATTTGAGTCCTATTGAGTGGTCGGGACATTTCCTTTGGGAACGTTGGAACCTGGATATCCCTCACCAGTTTTTCTCCCGGTCTTATCTCGGACCGACCGACGTACGGGATCTGGAGAAAAGGAGAGGAGAGGGAAAGAGGGCTTGTGAGAGAGGAAAGATTTTAATCCAGAGGATTGTAGTGAAGGAGAAGAGGATCTAGAGAGGGGAAGAGGGCTTGTGAGAGAGGAAAGATCTACATACAAAAATTGAGAGAGCAATACTGTAGTACGTGGCCTAGACAGGGTGAATAGAGGAATGGACTAAAAAGAGCTAGCCCTTTTACACCGTAGAAGTACCAACGAGATGAAAAGGACGCACTGCACATGTGCGTGGCTTGATTGCGACACTATTGGAACTGCTTTGTCCCGCCACTATGCTAGGAGTACATGATGATCATCGCAAGGAAAGTACGTATGGATGGATAGTAACAAGGAAAGTACGTGTAGCACATGCCACATGCTTGACTACAGACATGGATAGTAGTAGGAGTGTGCGCAGTCGTGGGGTGTAAGTACCTACGTGCTAAAAATAGTCTAATTCATTCATTCACGCTGCCGCTGGCGGGAAGCAATCTAATCTTTAGTAGTGCTAACAAGTAGGAAAGTTGTACGTATTGCACGTGGCCTTGAAACCCATTTTTTTGCCACCTTTCCGGTCTCAGCTCGTTGTCGATCACGGGTTGCTCGAGTAACATGCCAGATTAGAGAACAAGTGCACGAAAAAAAAGGTGTCCTTGATTTCGATGACATTCTATGAAACAAAAGCCAACACATCTAGATCACGTAGAAGGCAAGCTAACAAATTTAGATCATGTAGAAGGCAAGCTAACACACTTCGATCATGAACAAAGTGCGCAGTTGGTTCAGTTGCTTAGGCCTTTAGTAGTAGTAGTAGTGTACCCATTCAAGAGGTAGCAAAGATTTTTAATTAGGATTGACTATTCACTTATCATAGACCATAATTGTAGTAATCCTTGGCGTTAGATCTCCCATCGCGCGTGTACTCTCGTTTCATGTCTAAAAAAACAGGCGCGCCGTTCAAGGCGACCTGTTGCTTCCTCTCCGCCATTTTTTTGAGGTTGGAGTATTTAACCTACACTTGTTGAGTACTGAAACTTGCTGAGCACTTAAACATTACCTGTCAAGTACGTGTTGTTGACCAGTACTCGTTACAAACTTGAGTAGTCAGATAGGATGTCCTTTAATAGAGATGACTTGAGTCTATAGTTCTACTACAAGTTTCAAGTCTCAACTTCGACTACGGTAGTTGTGACTTAAATACATTTGAGCAGGGGTAAACTGAGTAGTTGTGCCTTGAATAAATTGAGGGGATTCGTCTGTTGGAGCACTTAAACTGAAGCAGTAGCTAGGTGCTCAGTACTTGAGCAGTGCTGGCGCGCTTATGAAGATTCTTACTTTGCAGCGCAAATAGCTAGATAGGATGTCCTTCAATAAAGTACTTGATGATTTGAACTATGTATTCGGCACCGTGCCTAAGATTTCCCTGACGTGAGGACCTATCTCTGAAGTATGTGCTCATTGAGGATCTATTTGTATTTCTGAAGTAAAAACTACCAGGAGTGGCTACTTGCTAAATCAGAGTACTAGTAAGCCGTTTTTATGTTGGAGTCAACAGTAGCTGCTGTATGCGATGCGTGGATCCATCCGAACTTGAATAGTAGTTGCTAAGTACTTGAATAGTTCTTAGAAAGGATTTTGCCCATCTTAGTTCAAGTTGGTATTGGTTGGAAACGTAAACAACATTTAAGCGTTGGGGAGTCATCCTCGTCATGTCCGCACATTGCTTACTTACTACCTCTTACAGCCAAATTCTATCTTTATTAATGATCGGCAAAAATCGAGGTCTGACGTCAGGGTTTTAAGGGCGAGCAAGGAGAACCACAAGGGGCACAAATCAACGGACCAGGACTCTCAGAGTTTTAAGGGGAAAGCCAGGGAGTCCCAGGGTTCCCAGGGAGGGCTCAATCGCGGTCGGGTCAGGGTTTGGCATCTCAGGGTTTGCAAAAAGGGGCACAAAAGTCAGGATCCAGTTCTCAGGGTTTTGCAGGCACAAACGGCGGCAGGGTTTGGCATCTCAGGGCTTGGCATCTCAGGGTTTGGCATCTCAGGGTTTGGCATCTCAGGGTTTGGCATCTCAGGGTTTGGCATCTCAGGGTTTGCTTCCCGCCTCAGAGTGGCGCAATGTCAGGGTTTAGCGCCTCAGAGTTTCGGCATGTCAGGGCTTCCCGCCTCAGAGTTGCGCCAGGTCAGGGTTTAGCGCCTCAGAGTTTCGCGCCTCAGAGTTTCGGCATGTCTGGGCTTCCCGCCTCAGAGTTTCGGCGGGTCACAGTTTCGGCGTGTGACACTGTTTCACCGAGTCGCTAAGACGTTAGCGGGCTCTAACGCGGCCGCCAGCCGCGTTTGGGCCGTGTAACGTCAGGACCGCAAAGGGGCCCGAATCGGCTCGCGTACCGGAGGGAGATTGCCCGGGGAACGGTGAGCCGGAGGCTGGAGCCCGCCCCAGAGCTCCGCGGGGTTGTTTTCTCCGAGACTCTGCGGGGAAACCTGCACGCGCCGGGGGGCATTGTCCTGAAGAGAGAGCTCATGCGGGCTATATTCCCCCGTCCTGTTTTCCTTCGATCACGGTCTCTCTCTCCCCTGCTCCTAGCAGCTCATTCTCCCTCGTTCCCCTTTCCATCCTCTCGGACCGCTAACCACACGGGAAACGACTAGTTTAGAATAGGAATCTTTCATTTCCATGTAAGTATTTTCAGTGGAGCTACCTAAAACAAAGTTTTAAAAGCGTGCCAGGCTTCGGCCTTAAAAGCGTGCCGGGCTTCGGCGTTATCCTCGAGAAAATAATTTTTTAACACTAGTACGTAGTAAGCAATAGAATAGCGGCCATCGACTCACCGTCTATCACCTGCTCGTCAATATAGAAGTAAAGCAGTATACGTGGCAACCCACCGATTCATTTGCCTCAACTTACAATCACTTTACAAGCACAGTATGCACTTTTAGAAGACCGACTGAAAATCATGGGCCACAAGACCGAAGGAAGCATCACCACCACGAAAGTTGTCCCACTCTGAGAATAGAGCGCTACCAGTCTGCTTCAGCACAAAAGTTGGCGCACTCTCAGAACAGAGTACTACCGACGCAGCAAGACTGGAGAATTGCCAGTCCTCACTCGTCTAAGAACACCTCCATCTTCCCACACTTAAAATCATGGAAATTTTATCTACTAACCTATCTACTAACCTTAAATCTTCCGCTCGTTCTATTTCTCTTTGTCGAAGATGAAGGTGTGTTAACGTCGTCATCTCGGTTATAATTGTAGAAGAAGTGTCACCATCAACAGCACTGTCGTTCATACTGGCAAGAACGACCCATCACTACTAAAGAAGTCACTATTAGAGCTTCGTGCCCAATTACTTACTTCCTGTGAACGCAGCTCCGCCTGGTAATGTGCGATCCATTTTTAGGTTACAGGTTTGATTATGGACTCTGTGCAGTGAGCTCCCCTCCCCCACGAGGATACCTTTATTTTGGTGCAGCTCTATCTCTAAGTATTTGAAATATAAAGCAGATTCTTTCATAGAAGTAAGCAACAACGACGACTACCGACGTAGCAGATGCACAAAGACTTATCTCAAACGATCACCGAGAAATGCGGAGGCACTTCTCAGACCAACGAAGCGCATTAAGCTGTACTCTCAGACCGACCACAAATCAGCATACTTAGAAGAGCGTGATGGCAATAGTCCTAAACATACCTAGAGCGTGACATAGGTTTAACAGTCGTGTTGCCAAACCAAGCAATTGTCCGAGTGCTTACAGACGAGGGTCAGAGGTCGCAGGAGACAGCACGAATCGGGGCCCTTGCATAATGGAAGAACACCTACTTTAATTGCAAGAGTAGCGAGATGACGCTCACGTCGTTAGCATGTATGACTCATTTCAATGGGAAAAAATAAGGAATTTCTTAGCCAGGAAATGCATTGTGTGTGATTTTCGTTGCGGGACCACGGCACAGCTGTCCGGTTCATCTTTTACGCTGAGGACCTTCCTATCCCCCAGCGCCCCCTCCTAGTACAGCACTTGTACTATTGATTTAATATCTGAAAGACGCCCTCCATCGTTCGATAATATGACGCTGAGACTAATTGCAACTTCAAAAAAAAAAAGTCCTCATCCTCGAAGATGTCACCACCTGATGACGCCATTCTCGCTTCCTCACTCGTCATCACCTGAAGATGACTCCATTCTCGCTTCCTCACTCGTCACCGCCTGCTGAGATGGCTTCGTCTGCAGCCGCTGTGGCGTCCTTGACAAGCTTATCCGCCGTTTTCTCAGCGGCCTCGATTCCAGGGCGGAAGAACATGAAAGAACCTGATGATCATTATAAGTTAGGAACGATCATTATAAATGGTCTAATAGGCACGAAGTAACGATCATGAAGGAAACTGATCATCATTGAACGTGTTAGCAGATGTCGAAGCATCTGCAAAGAGAAACCTGGTAGCAGATGAAGCATCAAAAGGAGCATCAAAGGGGAAAGGAGAAATACGAGGATCTGAGAGCAGTTCATCTATCTTTGTTAATGATGTTGAGGGTTGTACTTCTGCTGCATCTTGAATGAATGAATGAATGTGCCTAGCGCGAGGTGGTGCAGTTTTTATGTCGCGTGCGACAAATTATCTTCCATGTTCAATCTTCACTTTCCTTTTTTCATTTTGCATCTTGAGAAGTATTTTACAAGGTACAAGTCACCTCCTTCCGTAACATCTTCGACTTCTTGCTTTGGAGCCGGCGGTTTCGATTTTTCCGAGTTTTGCCCTTGATATCCGAGCTCGCGGCCATCGCCACGGTCAGTCTCGTCTCCAGAGCCATCCTTTTTTAGAGGTTTACGGTTTATCTTAAGTAGATAAACCTACCTGGAGGTGAAAAACAAGTAGTAGCTGCTATGTGACTGAGCTCAAATACACTATAGATGCAACTTGGGTCCACTTCTTGCAAGAACCCTTAACTTCGCATCCTCCGAGTCATCATCCGCTGGCTTATCTCGACGCCCCCGCGGTCCACGCTCACAGCCTTTTTATGAAAGGAGATGTAATACTCGATTGTTTTAGTGTAGTTGTAGTAAAGATAAAAAATTGATGTTGATTGTAAAAAAGCTACGCTGTAGTAAAACACATCGACGTCTGTATGCTTTTAATCATATTAAATATGTATCTTCCTTAGTGTCATGTGAGTGCCGTCGATATGGAGGCCTTGCTTATGTCATGTCGTGTCGGGACGCCTCAGGGTACAGGTCTTTATAACAGAAAAGATTTATATACCCTCAGCTTTAGTAGTAGTAGTAGTAGTATACCCAATCTGGGGGTACGTTCAGCAAGTGCAAGGGGAGGGAGGGTTACATTCAACGTCCTTGGGTGCGAGTCCTTATTGTCATTCAATCATTGATTCCTCAAGTCCTTAAGTTAAAATGAGGTTAGGACTCCATCTACAACTTTAATACAGCTTTCAGAACTAACTAAGTAGAACTACTACTTTACAGACTTGAAAAAAAATAATCACATCTTCCATAACTCCGGTCGATGACACTTGCGACGGCACAGTTGCAACTTCTTCGGCTTTGCTCCACGTACGAGAGTCGTTTGGTCTGTGACCTCCTTGCGCTTCTTCGCATCTGGATTGCAAGCATTAGCACTGCACGTGCGCATATAGTTCTAGAATCTAGAATTACCAGGTAACTAAACCTTAGACAAAAAAAACGTTGACTTCTCTAGAACAACAAACTCTGGAATGAATTATGATTATCCTAGTACTAGGACTAATCGTAGTAGGATCTTTCCCCTTGTAGTGACTTGTCGTGACTCTTTTCATCTTGCTTCTACGTAGTGACCCTTTCCATCTTGCTTCTACGTAGTGACCCTTTCCATCTTCTACATTAGAATGACTCGTCTTTCTCACTAAAGGTTTAGAATGACTCGTCTTTTTCACTAGAGGATTGGAATGACCTTAGATGAAGAGGCCATAAGTTCGCACTCATGCACACAGAAATAGTTGAGGTCCACGACCCTCGTGAAGTCGGACTTCTTCAGGGCATTGTGGTACACGTCAGCCGCTCTGTCCACACACTGCGTCGTCTCGTCATCTGCTTAGAGGGCTCATAATGTCTGCCGATAGGGCTCATAATGTCTGCCGATGGGTTTCTTACACAAAGAGCTGTGTGTAATCAAACAGAAAGTGTAAGTAGACACAAAGAGCTGTAAGTAAACACAAACAGTGAGTGTAAGTAAACAGTCAGGGTTTAATTACACAAACTGCAGAAGCTTCTTCAGTGCTTGAGTAATAGTTATTACTTATCAGCCGCTTGAGTTGTATTACACACAGCTGATAAGTAAAATATTACACGGGAGTGAGTGAATGCATGAATGTACCCACTCCTGGGGTTTAGAAGACCACTATCGCGAAGCGAGTATCAGTTCTCCTTTTCTTTTCTGGTATAGCTATAGGGGTTTAGAATACCACTACCTATAGGGGTTTGGAATACCACTACCTATAGGGGTTTAGAATACCACTACCTATAGGGGTTTAGAATACCACTACACTACGAACACATCACTACACTATGAAGGGTTTAGCCGTAATCAGCTCCACAAGTAGCTGGACCTTCCTGGAATCCACCCTGCGTGCGGAAGGAGGCAGGAAGCACGTCGTTTGATTAGAACAATGATAGAAGTAATGATGTTGACTAGAATGAAGTAGTCTGTTTTGTTTGTAGAATTAATGATACTGACCGAGGAAGGAAGCACGTCGTTTGATTAGAACCAGGTAGAATTAATGATACTGACCGAGGAAGACCAAAGACTTAGTACTTCTTCAAACAAAAGGAACTTGCGAAAGAACCAGGTTTCAGCCAAAAAGAAAACTTGCGAAAGAACCAGGAAGGAATAGAATCAAAATCGATATCCTGCTTGGTTGATTCAAATGTCAAAGATAAGAAGATGAACTTAGTAAAAGTATTGCTCATGACATGTTGTCAGAAAAGAACGTAGCATGCTCCTGATGGTATCGTTTCAAAGCAGAACGTAGCCTGATCCTGATGATATCGTTTCAAAGCAGAACTTATAACGCTCATGATATGTCAAGAAAAACCTCAGCTGTACTGAGCTTCCTGATGCATCCAAAAACTTCGGGAAAAACTAGTACCACGCATAACAAAATGGCGGCTGTTTTCCACCCTCGGAAGGCGGTCCTCGTTGCTTAGAAGTTATTAGAATTTTTGGCAAAAAATTATAACTCGCATGCTTTCTTCAGCGCTCTGCTTGCGATCTCTTCAAATTTCACAAGTGAATCCTCGAAGTGAGGACAAATTCACTCAAGCCATCAGCGGCCAAGCAGTCACTTCATGTGAGCAACTTCAGCTGAGTGAGAACCATCTTCAACACCAATCTATCATAAAAGTAAACCCTTTTTAAGTGTCCTTTCACCTCCAGCTGGGAGCACAGACTCAATATCCAACGTGGCCCATCTTCAACACCAATCTATCATAAAAGTAAACCCTTTTTACCTCCAGCTGGGAAGTTGAGCACCGACTCAATATCCAACGTGGCTGAATCGTGATCCTGCACGAAACAGCAATCGCAGCTGCATTCCGAAGCTCGTCCATTCTCGGGAGGATGAAGAGGAACACTTCGTTGTAAGCAGACTGTTTTTGTGACTGATGTACATGATGATGATACGAGTCTACTCGTCGGCGTGGTTAGGTTAGGTTATGGATCCTGCACAACGAGCCCCACCGGCACCTGCTCGCCTCTGAGGATGATGGCGTGGCAGTACTACAAATACATGGAATCTTTTGCGAGCTAAATGTGCCAAATTACATCCAATCTTTAATATGGGCACTATGATGATGATGATGTTTTTACCTACTCCAAGTCCAATCATGTTCGCAGACCCTGTATCTCCGACCGGACGTAGTCTACAGGTTCACACATAGGGCAGCACGCCTGCGCCGCTAGTTTAACGTTCAGAACTCGGCTCAAAGCCGTCGTAAACGTGCTTTATCCCCAAACCTTCCCAGCCATGGATAAAGTCCTATGCTACAAGATAAAGTCCGAACATCGGCACGCAGGGACGGCGTGCACATCGTAGATGAATGCAGAAAGGTCCGAAGACCGTGTAAATTCGCAACCTTTGATCGAATTGCGATCAAGTTGCCAAAAGAGGAAGGTAGAGACAGCCACACTTACACACGCTGTCTCCAAGAACTTTTGATCGAATTTAGATCCTCAAAAGTGTGAAGATCCTGAATAGACTGGGATAGATTCCCCTATATTCTTAAGTCAAAATAAGTTTGCACAGTCCTTCGCGCTTCGTCGAGGCGAGGTTGTGCGAGGCAACTAATTATCACAATATCGTCAAATTTCGCTGAGCGCTGGAACAGCCTCAGCTCGGACTTCGGGCCTATGCAAGAATGTTCCGGTCGTCGTCTGGGGGATTCGGAACGTTTTGCCAAACGTCTGCTCTTTGAATGAGGTGGTTGACTTTGAAGTTGTCGACCATCACCGGCACAAATGCTTTGAGTAACGAACTCAGCTTCTCCAAGCGGGTAAGGGGGTCGCTGATGTTTCTGGAGGATGCAATCCATGTTACTATAAAGTCCATGGATAAACGTCGCGCGAACACGTGCAGGGCCGCGACTATGCCCTGAGTTAATCTGCAACGGCTGGTGTTTCGGGTAGCGGAGAAAACAACTCCCAAGTTGTCCACATGCGTGACAACGAGGAAGTTGCGCAGGTGGTCTTGGAAAAGCCGCATCGCAACGGACAGGGCTAGAGCTTCTAATGCTCCGATGTGAACCTTCGTGGGGTCAATGTTCTTCGGTAGCAGGTGGCATGGCACGGGAGCCGCAAAAGCGATAGATTTCCCTTCTTCGTCAATTAGAATGCCGCCAATAGTCATGATCTTCCCACCTCGGCCGTCGGGCTCGCAAGCTGCATCTGTGTACACGTGGATGACCTTTTTGTCCACTCTTGCGAAGCTGATCGTGGTGGCATTGGAAATCGGGAGCATGGAGTTCAGGAGCCGGATATGCGATAGCAGACCGAGCCTGGCTTTCTTGATCTTGATGAGCCTTTTGAATACCTGTTCAGGGAACCACTCATCAAGGCCACGAGCCAGGTAGCTTGCTGCGCGCACCAGCTGGCAGCAATGCCTGAACAATCCTCTGTAGCGATCGAACCGCTTGTAGGCCAATTTCTTCGCCTCTAAGTCCTGGCAGAGCGATACCCCCAACATGATTGTTTCTTGAACCTTGTCCGGGTCTACCGAAATACGCATGAATCTGTGATCTCTGCTGAGTTCGTACGCGATGCCGAGCACTACCAAACATCTCTGAGTTCCACTATGAGCTTGGCCTTTTGGTGCTTGCCACCATCCGCAGAGCGAGAGCAGCAGGTCAAGCAAGGCGCCATCTGATTCAAGGGCAAGCGGCCGACTAAATAAGTGCACGCCATCTATGTACAGCGTGGAAATCAGGCGCGCGAATGAGTTGAAGATCAACATGATCGCCTCCGAGCCGTGCACGCAATCGTGGACGGATGATAGGCTGCCGAACAGCGCGCAATCCGAAAAGATTAGCACCCATTGTCGCGGCAGCGGCGGTCCCGGCTTGCTGCGTTTCGACGAGGCGCGGGGGACGGCGAACCAAACCGCATTCTCCTCTGGTTTTTCAACTCCCAGTTGATAATAAAAACTCTTTAGATCGCGCTTGAGGGAATGCGGCCGGAATGGGCCTTCACCAATGCCCACGTCGTCGACCGACCAGAGCGGCGGAGGTTTTTCCACTGGCAGGCCAGTTTCTTCGCGAACGAGCTCCAGTAATTGTCGTTCAGTATTTATTTCGTCCTTGATGTCAGATTTGAACCGAAAAAATTGCGCGGGGGTGTCGGCTTTGGACATCAGCGTGGAGATGATTTGGCATGCCGTCCTAGACCCATGAAGGGTCATCTTTTCTTGCGCCACCATGTGGAGATTTTGTCTCCTAAAATCTATGCAGGTCCGCACCTTGTCCTTTTGGACAACTGGGAAGGCCAGAGACGCCCCCAAAGAGGTAAGCTCCTTCTCTTCGGCGTAGTGCCACTTTTCTTCGTCGATCATCTTGAGCATTTGATTGTGGAGCTCCTTAATCAGTTTCTCTTCAGCCCAGTGGTGCGATGGCTTTTTTGGCGGGGCTGCGGCAGCTGCGGCTGCAGCCTCCTCCCGTGTGGCGATCAATTCATCGGCTAGCGATTGCCACATACCTGTATGCTCGATCTTGCCAGACATGGGAAGCCCTTTTATCATCTTGTTCACAATGCCCATGATGAGTGTCCTCCTGCTCCAAAGCTCGGGCTGCTCGTCGATGGATTTGCTGAGGAGGATGCGGAAAAGTGCGATATTTTTTCCTTTGTATAGCTTAGCCAGATGCGGCTTCATCTGGTCGAAAATTTTCTGATTCTCCTCTTGAAGGTCCAGCGACAGCTGCAAGGCTTGTTTCCCTCTTGATTTGTTCTTCTCCACTAAATCCTCGTGGGACGAAGATTTTCCAAAGTTCATCGCCGATTTCACGTGCGGCGGATACAGCGGTGGCGCTCCATAGCGTCTTGCAGCTTCTTGCGCATGGACTCCTTGGAAGGAGAGGCTGTCTGGAGGGCGACTCCCTGATGGCCCCGACATCGTGAACAGGTAAGCAGTAAAGCTAAGTCTTGATGTGTTAACTTGAAGTCCTTAAAAGCACGTAAGCAGGCCACGTTGGAACAAAGCTTCCGAGTGAGAACCTGCGGTATTGATTCTAAGAGGAGGAACAAAAGGGAAACGGGGGACGCACTGGGAGGCCCCTGTGAGAAGTTGAGTTGGATACAAGAATACTTTTCAACGTGTGCATTGTGGGATAGATGTGGACCCTTTCCATATCTATTGCAGTGTGCACACGCGTGAGTCTTAACGTCGAGAAGTGCCTAGAAAAGCGTGCGTCAAACTCATCACAGACTTGCGCATCTCGTGCCAGAGAATGAAAGTGCCTCAGTGTGTCCTCGTGAGATAGTGAACATTGTCCCGTGGCAGCATACGTCATATAAGTGTTTTCGAGGGGGTCAACGGCGGCGTCGAAGTCTGTAACTCGGTCTTTGAAGCCCTATGCTGCAGTCATAGAGCTAGCTTGCCACACTGCCTACTTGCGTAACTTCTTCAAAGACAAGATCATGCTCGAATTCTAATTTAAGATACTTAAGCACAGATATGATTGACGTTGTAAATGCTAGCATAAATAAAGGAGCGAGGCACCAGGAAAGAACGGCGCGCGATAAGTAGTAAATCACGCCAGCACTGATTACTGCGGACGGCGTTGTGGTTGTGATTACATATATATTACTTACATTTACATAGGATCGGGTGGCATGAACTTGAAGACGGGCGACACACTTCGTGTCGTCGCTTCAGCAATTATGTATAAGTAAAAAGGTAGGCTGTGCAATGTTTATAGGAGTGAAGTTAGGCAGTGTAATGGTGGGTGAGAAGACGTTAGGCGAGAAGGCAGACAAGACCAGTAATGGAGTGAGTCCCGCTTCGTTAACCAACCTCCGTTATACTATTTTTTTGTTTTTTCTCTTTTTTGCTTTTTTTGTGTTTTTAGACTTGTCACTTACCGCTTACCCCATCTCTACTTCGTTTCTTTATCCGCCAACGAGATGAGGCGATCTTGTGGCACCGCTCCTTTGCAAAATCGTTCGTTCAAGAACATTAATTTGTTCAGCGGGCCTTTGTGTGCATCGGAACATTTCGGGTTCTTGCACGTCCCTTTGAGCCAGTTGATGCACACCTTCTGCTGTTGGTTACCGATCTTCCGCTTCTTGTTGGTGTCGTCGCCCTTGTCCTGTCTGTCCCTTTTTAGCGAGACCGTGGCGGCATGCAGCTGGGCAGACATAGCCCTGGACATTTCCGCTAGCTGGAGCTGCATGGACCTTTCAAGTCTGATCTGCTGAGTAAACATCAGGCGAATACTGTCAGCGAATATCGCGTTGGCAGTTCTCTGATACATGTTCGGGCCCTCAGCAACCTCGGGTATATTCGACGCTTCCATACAGGTTGCCGCCACTTCGAAAAAGGCACGGAAGACCACATCTTTCGTGAGAGGTTCGTCTTGTTTCAATTTGAGGGAAGAAGTTTCCACCTGTGAGGCTAGTTGGGGCTTGATAATCATGTCTTGCAACTTCTGCGTCTGCTGGACTGTGAGACAGTCCGAAGCCCTGGCCGCGGCCACTAGAGTCAACGGGGTCCACGAGATGGATGCCGGTGGGCGGAGAACGTCCCGGATGCGTTCCTGCAAGAAACAACGACTGAAGAATAGATGCTGCTTGGACGAACATTCATACGAGACATCCTGCATTTGCACGTTGAAAGCTTGTAGCTGCGCTTGCGTGGGCACACCAAGCCCCGCTTCATCAGCCGCCTGCTGATGGTGTTGCAGGACCTCCACGCCTGGAGCCATGGCTGCCACTTGAGCTTGCAGAGCGGCGTTGGCTGCTGCCTCTGCGATTGCCTGCGCATTGTGTCCTCCTTGAGGTAGACCGGCAGCCGCATTTCCAGCTCCGATTAGTCCTCCTGCAGGATGTTGGCCTCCGATGGCTCCCAGCAGACCTGCGCCTGGGTCTGCGCCAATCTGCTGTTGTTGATCAAGGTGGTCACCCATTCTGAAGCTATCGTGGCCGACAAGCTTGTAGAGGTTTGACTAGAAAGGGGCGTGATTGAAAAAACGTTTCAGTTTCTAAACGAAGTTTCGAGTCAGATGGTGATACGCGCAAAGACGTAGAAGACAATTTTTCGAATTAACGAGACGAGAAAACCAAAGAAGACCAATTTTGCGGGTCTGGGAGGGATCTCAAGCTCACTGGATTTTGCAACAAAAGTAGACGCATGGGTGGGTGATAAATCAAGATGCCAGCATAATTATCTCTCACAATTTCTAAAAGTTCTCGTGACAGAAAAAGCTCTCAACCGAAAACAGAATAAACATCTGACGACTATGACTCTCTCAGAGGATTCAATCACCTTTTTTTTCATTTCGTCGCTCACGCTCTTCTTTTTTTTGCAAATCTGAACATGAGCCGTCGGCTACAGCGCTTTTAAAACTGTAGCTGAAGCAAGGAGTCAGAAGACGAGCTTAGTGCTATAAGCTCGGGAGCAGTCGCACTTGCAGACGTGTCTGCACACTACGTCAGAATCCGTTCGGCGCTGGCATCAAGAATAATCAAACTAAGGAGTATGAAGGGGTAGAAATTTTGTTGCAAAGAGGGGGACACAAGTCCCGAGGCGAAGAAACTGAAGACGCATAGAACTTATTAGCTGTAAGAAGAGTTCACTTTTTGGAGCTAGCTTTTATAGTGTGGCAGTCATCTTCCCTACTGTGGTAGCAGCGGGAAGTGTCTGGAAGGCCTCTTGATCGGCCACTCGAGAGACATAGAGTCAGGCTTCGCTCTCGATTGTTGAGCGTAATGCTCAGCGGTCTGGATCGATTTCCAGCGGCCTAGTTGATGCAGACGATGGATGTCCATCCCCCCATCGAGTGCTGCGCACGCGCCTCCGACTCTGATGGAGTAGGGTCCAAATCTCTCATCGTCGACCGACTTCGAGCGTCCTTTTTCATCTGTAAGGCCCGCCATATTCATAGCTGTGTTGATCGCAGTTGTATGCGTAGCCTTGCTCCACCTGCTGATCGCCAAAAAGGTAGAAGGAGAACATGCGTGAACAGGGCAGATTGCAACCATGCCCCGTCCAACAATTGGGGATGAGCGGCAGCAGCAGCAGAAATCCTGTGAAAAGGAAGACTGCCCAGCCGTGGCACCCTGCGAGTTCTTGGCTTCGGCTATAGTAAAGCGTACCCAAGTGCAATCGGTGGCAACTAGAAGTGACGTTGAAGCAGCGTCATCGGGTCGCAGCAGCATAAACCAGCAGGCAACGAGAAAACCAGTATAGTGACCGATCGGGACCAGGTCGTCAGGCGGACCAACGTTCAGCTGCTCGTAGGTATCGGCGGATGCCACTAGAAAGACAATGTGAGACAAACGAAATCCCAACTCTTGCCTGACGCGATCTTTGGTCCGAGCCAAGAGTTTGAAGCAAGAAGAGTACGCCAACGTCACTTCCCTGGAGAGTACAGCTTTGCTGGCAGCCCAATTTTTGATATGGCTCAGGTACTGGGCACGTGACTGCTTCGCATCGCCACATATCAGCAGCGCCTTGGTGATCAAATCCATGGAAAAAGCCGACATGTGTGCGGGGTCCGGGCTGAGCTTGCAGGCGATCATCAGTTGCTCGTACTTTGCGAATTCTCTTGAGTAGTCACGCACCGTACTAGCGTTCCAGCGAAGTTCAATAAGGGACTGTAGCCTTGATGGAGATGGAGTTTGTTGGGCACCGCCACTAGATGTAAGCGCTTTATGAGACGTGGGGCTTGGACGATTCTGTTGCACTTCTTGTGCGACAAGTTCAACAGCTTGCGCCCAAGTGACTTGTACAACAGATGCGCGACGAGTGAGCAGGAGCGGAGATACGTAATTCCCTTGACTACCAGAGGAAGACTGCGCCACACTGTTGCCCTTCGGAACCGGTTTAACATCAGCTGATCTATTGTAGACTCGCCCTTTGCCTTTTGCTCCTTTGATTTGCTGTAATAAGGAAGGCCCTCTTTTACCTTCACTCGGCTTCACCTCCTCGAAGGGAACCAACTGAAGCCCGGCCTCCATACACAGCGGCATAATACCATCTTCGTCAACGGGGATGGACAAAGAGGCTGGCTTGCTGGCGCTAGTTCCTCTAATAGTGGGCAGGCTGATGCCCGCTTTTCCAAGCACTTCAGCAGATGTTTGCACTAGCTTGTCCTTGTTCTCAATCTTGGCCAGCTCCTCACGTGTGTCCCTTTTGCGTTGCTTACCAGTGAAGACGCCCGCGAAAGACTTTTGAATGATTGAAGACAGGTCTACTCTCGCACCCTGGGGACCATTTTGCATGTCCAATACCGTGCGTCCCTTCGTAGGTGGCTCTTGCCCGCAGCGTAGTATTTTCGGCACCACGACAGCCTTGAGCAAGTTGTTCTTCAAGCTCTGGATCTGGTCATCTCTGACTGTATCAGAGACTGGCCTCCGACTTAACCTTCCGCCGTTCCTGTGCTCATGGAGACTAGTTTTCTCTTCATCCAAGGTATCGGCGGCAGTCCTCTTGAGTCCGGCCTGCATATGCGTAGAATTTTCCGACGTCATAATTTGATTATGTTCAACTTGCGTAGCCTTAGGCTTAAGCCCACAAGGGGCGACATATGGAACCTCCCGTTTAAACATGTTTGGTACTTACATATACAACAGAGCTCGTACGTAATAACACAAGAGAGGAATTATCGACTTCGAAAAATACGACCGAAATATTACAGGTATTTTTTCGGTCGATATTTTCAAACTTCAAGACCCATTTTCTACCCCCGTAATCGATTTTTTTGGTCTCTATTCTTTAGACACACCTAGAATGCAATTGCGTCACCGTACTACATAAAACAAGAGAGACTATCGACTTCGAAAATTACGACCGAAATACTCCAGGTATTTTTTCGGTCGATATTTTCAAACTTAGGGATGGTGGGAGGGAGAAAAAAGATTTGATGCAAGAGCACTATTAAGCTCATAGCAGCTATCGTTCCTTACCCATGGCTGGATCTTTACATTGTTCATAAGAGCTTTATCCCCAAACCTTCCCAGCCATGGATAAAGTCCTATGCTACAAGATAAAGTCCGAACATCGGCACGCAGGGACGGCGTGCACATCGTAGATGAATGCAGAAAGGTCCGAAGACCGTGTAAATTCGCAACCTTTGATCGAATTGCGATCAAGTTGCCAAAAGAGGAAGGTAGAGACAGCCACACTTACACACGCTGTCTCCAAGAACTTTTGATCGAATTTAGATCCTCAAAAGTGTGAAGATCCTGAATAGACTGGGATAGATTCCCCTATATTCTTAAGTCAAAATACTATGGCAGCCGAGCCTACACTCTTAACTGGCCATATAAAACAGTCGAGCACAGCATCGACCTCACCATAAAAAACGGCGAGGCACGCAGTGGACTAGCCATCAAATTTTGACAGGATCTGTAATAATTTGACAGGGGAGGGTACAGGGGGTCCGACCTGTTCACGACCTTAGAAAAAAGATTTGATGCAAGAGCACTATTAAGCTCATAGCAGCTATCGTTCCTTACCCATGGCTGGATCTTTACATTGTTCATAAGAGCTATATGTGCTATTGCTATGTGCTATTGCTATTGCCATGTGCCATAATCCAAAGGACTCGGGAATAGATCAGTGGTCTCCGAGTCCTCAAAAATTTCGTCAGGCGTGTCCCCTGCACCGATATTGCGAGTAGCGATGTCCAGCGGATCCCATGACTGCTCGATTTTAGAACCATCTACCTGCTCGATTGAAGAACCACCTGCTCCTCAGCTCCAAGGGATGTTAAATAAGCGTAAGCATTAAAATAAGCGTAACTACCAATGTGCAACGACAAACAGTTTGAACATCTAATTAAAGGAGATGAGGATACTAGGGAGGATGACATAGTACAGCCGAGCTTTGGGTTTTAATTTTCAATCGATATGATCAATTTTGTTTCCAATTCAAATCTCAATTCAATTCGAATCTCAATCTTCCTTTGAATCCAAGAAATTTTGATTATATGCTGTTTCAATTGAATTTAAATCCAGTGAAGAGATTAGCAACGAATGTCAGAAAAAGCAAAAATCTTCTCAGAATCGTATCAATCTCTTAAGATAAGGCTCATATGTCCTACTATTACCAAGTATCAAGGATATTGTACTCTACGGTTTGCAGCATTTCAGTTCACTACTTCAAATTTGACACTTTGAAAGTGCTAACACCAAAGAACTGGCTAAGAATGGGCTTTTCCATCTCCCTACTAGCACAAAATATTTCACTTAAGAACGCTCGAAACTTGCTACAACTTGTGACGTCGTACATAACCCACAACCAAAACTCACATGCATCACCGTTACCTTGTCTATCATCTGCCACATAAAGCTAAAACTTACACGTTGTACGTCGTCATCTATCTAAATCGTCTGTGTAAGTATGTCCATAAGAGACGTCGAAGACGTGCTATTGCTCGCAGGACCGCTTGGCTCTTGCGGTGATCGTACTGTAGAGGTTGCTGTAGAAGAGAAGGCCACACCTGGGTTGGACCAAGAGAGAGCCACAACGCCTTCCACAGCACACAGAAAAATTCCTGCCAAAAATGGCAACGACCAAGGGGAGCACATCCTCTTCATTCTTCTCTCATCCGCATCCTTATACTTTTTGAGTCGCAAAAACTATTTCACAGATCAGATGAAAAACTTCCTGTCCACAGGATGAGATAGATAGATAGATAGATGTACCCACTCGTGGGGTGTAAGATCTTTTAGAGCTTCTAGCAGCGTAGCTCTTTTCACAATCGACATCAGACTGGACTTGACTGATTTGATTGATTAGTAGTAGTAGTGTACCTATTCGACGGGTATTGATGTGCCTGGCAAGAGGTCTGACTGATTTGATTGATTGATGTGCCTGACTCAACACTTGCCTCAAATAGGAGGAGACCCAGCTAGAATAGCAGATGAACGAGGCCACAGAGGGAGGACCGCACTCCTAAAGAAGGTCTGTTTTCAATGCCACGCCGCTCGATACAGGGGTGCCAAGATCTCTGTGCCACGGTCCCTCAACCTCTCCTGAATGCTCTTTTTAGCCACTTCTGCCTCTTTTGGCCACCAACAACTGCTGCTGTGAGACAGCCCGACTCCGACAATTTCAAACTCACCCTCTCAGGATTCTGACCCTCTTACTTTCGTAGTTGCATGTAGATAGTACTCTACGTTTACCAACACTGACTGCGACAGAATTGAGAGCAGAGATGATGCACGTCGCATCTAGATTAAGATTTTTAGACAGATATTTCATTGATTTATACAAGAATCTCGTACCCTAACCTTATTCTACAGGGGGATAATGGAAGTAGCATCATTCTCAGGTGGACTTCTATAAATCTGTTCAGTATATACAGGTAAGAAAGGATACAATATATCGTGGTCCGCAGTTTGGTTGCTTCATCTAAGTCCTTTTGCTCAGGAGTCCTTTTTTGGCACATTCTTCTATACAGGGGATCAGCTGCCATGATTTTCTGTACAACAGGAGATATTTTTCTGTTTGAGTCTGGATATTCTGTACAGGAGAGCAACAGCCTTGGGTCGTCCGGATTCTTGAACGTAATCGAAATTCTTGGAAGTTTATATGGCTTTCTGATGAATACTTTCGTACATCTACCGCTTTCCGAGATCATGGAGAAGTAGATTTATTCTTCACCTTTTCTGGACTAAATAGTACTTTCCGTATGCTTCCTTTCTGTATGCTTTTTCTTGTAACTTTTTCGAAAGTGATTCATTCGTGTCAGCAGCGTCTTCAGCAGCTCCTGCTATGATCGTGATAACCTACTTCTAAATGTATTTGGGAGCTGAGCTGCTATGTTATCCCAACTTCTTACTTCTAAACGTGCGTCTACTAGTACTAAGTTCTAAATGGATGTATAATTTCTTCGTTTAATTCATCTTGATTGAGTTGCTGTAAACATGAACTGTGTCGAAATCATACTAATTCGAATGATTGTAATAATTGTCAATAGGAAACGGTAGGAAACGCACAAGGGAGACTATATAGAAATGCACATATTGCCTAAATTGGAAACACCTCAAACTACATCCTACGAGTCGTGCAGGAACTAACACTATCTCCAGAGCGTTAGAAGCTACCACTGCGACCACAATAATAGAAATTCATAGGGACGATGTGCTAAACTCAAGTTCTTATGCTCTGAGAAGGAAAGAGGGAATAAGAAACAGAAAAGGATATAATAGAAACTTTTCTAGACCGAAACATGCTCGAACCGCATGTGAGGGCCGATTTATCTACCCGAAAACCTGCGATATTCAGGATTCGTGCACAACCAGGAACCAGAAAACACTAGATACAACTAAAGGTAGCGAGCATTGCTCTTGCTCTACTTATCACAGAAATTAGTACTCTAGTTTTCTTGGTTGCGCCGTCAAAGATACTCTTATGCAACGAACTTATCCCAACTAGTAGGAAAGGATGGTAGACCAGGATAGGATGGTAGACGAGAATAGGATACTAGAAGAGGAGTCTTGGTTGCCCATAGGACTACTCTTGGTACCCTGTATAGTATGTAGGTCGAGACAATCGATCGCGGGACAAGATGTTAGACATCTCTACATATAACTGTCGTTTACATACCGATGCCCGTTGTTTGTACACACCTCTATTGTTTGAGTTTGATGGCCACAAGAGCCGTACAATCCATTCATAGACTCAATATCTACAGCCTTCCTGACTAGAAGGTTGGACCTACTTGTTGGCAATCATTTTGACCCAACTAGATGAACTAGGCGAGAAGTGCAACCAACTAAGAAAGACACAAGCTATCTGCTTGCTCGTCTACAGATTTACTCCTATAATTATGATCGCTACCCTCGTTCAGGTTGATCGAAATCCTCTAACTTCGTTCTATCGCCTGCTAAGTCGGTCACGTACTCGGTCAACGTGCCTAGTGCCTTTGCTGCCTTGTACCTTGTTGTAACTACAACTATTCCTAGAAGTTCACCGCTCGAGCAACGTGCATAATACCTTGACTATTCCTAGAAGTTCACCGCTCGCCACCCCAACACGCATCCACGTCCGCCGACATCGATCACAAAGTTAACAGATCACAAACTCTAAGGAAATCTCTAATCACGAGACCTTAAACGCAAAGGGAAGGCTGGCAACTATGTGACTAGCGATATTCTTTGCTGGATCAGTCCTTAACATGGATGTCTCTAAGTTGTAAGTACTTACAACTATCCCTAGAAATTCACTGCTCGCTGTTGCGAAAAGACACAGACGCCGCTTCTGTTTTCTCTGCTGACCCAATCAGAGTCCCATTGCGTCTCCTGGAAACATCCTCGATCTTCCCACTGCCCTCAAGTTCAAGCGCATTGGCCTCGATCAAGTCAGAGTGCCATGTGCACCGACGTCACGAGATTTATAGTGTAGCTGCACTTCCAGTTCTAGTTCCACCTTCCCCTTATGTGCTTTACATTTAGCGGCAGCTCCCAGTTCTAGTTCCACCCCAGCTTCCTTGTAGTGAAAGAGCAGAAAGCCCTATTCACCTACAGAGCACTGATGAACTAATACCAAGAGACACTAGACAGTTGCGAAAACAAGATGTGAGATCAGTTAGAGAGAACTACTAAGTTCCAGCTCTAGCTCCGCCTCAGCATCAAGCACCGGATTGAAGGGCGGGAGACTCCGTATAGAAACAGCCGATAATTGTTCTTAAAGAAGGATGATTTTTCCTGAAACACTAGTGAGCTAAGAAGCGTGCTAGCCATGACGTGCTTACCATGGTGCAGGGTCGACAGAGTTTAACCCCTCCTATAAATTCTGTATAAATGCAGTGATAGCCACAGTAATTGGCTCATGACAACATAGTGATAGTAACAATAAATTGTTGTAGCTAATGATCTCAAGGCAATGAATAACCGATACTGATCTTCCGACAATCAGCGTGCTTAGTGCTGCAGCGACGTTCATGCTCTAGTACTATTCTTTTTGCTAATATTATCTAAATATCTTTGCATTTACCTATTCAACTTGCATGCCTGTTCAAATTTGTTCAACATACTGCGAGGACCATCTGTGACATTGCTTATGAAAGATTTGGGAGATTGGGAGTAGATGATCTTTATTCGTTATCGATCTTCGATGTTTGGATTCTATCGATATTTTTAATTAGGGATGTAAGTACCTATTTAGTAGACTCTGCTTTGATCATACTTGTTTTCACGATTTCACGATGCAAAGTGTGTAATTTGGACGTTGATATTGATGTGCAAGAACTTAGTTCAAGGAGTTTGTGTCATTATAATAGATACTAGTCAGTATTGTGCGTCGTGGATCGTAGTACTCTTGTTGATAAGTTCGTAGGATGTTGTAGTGATTGTAAATTGAATCTGAGAAAAATCTTTGATGCTGTTATCTCGTCTGTGTAATGAAGTTTCATATTCGTTACTCTTTGCGTGTCCCATTCTGTGCGATCGAGGCGAACTGTGATTCAAATTAGAGTCGGTAGGGCTACCTGTAGGACTGTAGCTGGAGGACTTCCTGACAAGTGCACAAGTCAACGCGCAAACCACTACGCCAACTGCGTTGACCTGTACACTCACTTATCACTTCTGCCTGTGGGACTGTACGTGTAGGACAACTACCTGTGGGACTGTAGCTGCATACTCTTGTGATAGATAGATACTATGTATAAGTCTCCTCTTGTTCCTTTCTCAAGTTGCTTACTCTGATAAATATGTTTGCTCTTTCCCTAGTGCTGCTGTTGCTGGATGAATACGTACTCAATAGACACTGCTTTCTGCAAAGACTGTTGTAGATTTTAAGGCGAAGGAAATGCCCTTCACTAGGAATCCACTTTCAGAGTCCTTCTCGAAGGAAGTGCCCTTCTCCGAGGAAAGAGCCTCAACAACTTGAAAAAATCTCACCCCTGAAAAAAAGCTAAGCATCCTTTCCTTCTCTCTGCTGGACATAATAATTCTTTCACCCCTGAAAAAATGCCAAGCATCCTCCTTACCCCTGACAAATCTTAAGTAACAATAGTCTCCGAACGAAACTACTCGTGGCTTCGAAAGCCACTTCTAGCACCTCGGAAAAGTAGCGACCTTCAGCAAACCGAAAGTAGCCAACAAGAATTATCCGGAACCAGGACAAGAAATTTCGCAAACCGCTAGAAATCGTGAAAACCACTAGCATCAATTGCGAAATCCACTAAAAATTCCGAAAACTATTGCCACTTACTAGCACTGCCGGAAACCTGGAGAGGGAGTCAAAGAGTGACAACGCTAAGTATAATCAAATAAGGTTTAGTAAATCAAATAAGGTCGTCAACCTTAGGTTGAGTGTTTTTAAGTCATGAATATGTGTCGTGCTTGTCCATGCTATATAAGAATAAGACCTAGTTTGATTTTTTCATATCAAGAACGCAGAAACCAAATACATTGAATATTATCATCAAATCAAGTACTAGGAATAGTACCCCTTCCGGGCGAGTGCACTCTGGTTTTTTAGACCAGTACGACGTCGTCGTCAGCCCTGGGGTATGGCTGGACTCCGTCGCTGCGCTGGCCCTCCTCTTTAGCTCCGTTTCCTACTCCTGATAGGAAGGACTTCGCATCAGAAGCAGCACCGAATAGTTGGGCTTGTAAAAATGTCAGAGCCCACGATAATTCATCCACAACTTCAGAGTCTTCATATCGTACTCTTACTTTCATCGAGTAATCTTCTAATCTCATGGTATGAGCAGAATCCAACAAAAAATTATGTCATTCCTTCACCTGGAAGGACAGCACGAAAGGACAAGTACTAACATCTGCAGATGAATAGTGTCGAGAGCCATAAACGTACAAAGAACCCTCCTGGTCCTACTAAATCGTTTTCCTCCGCCGTTTCTACTTCTGCACTTCGTGTTAGAGCTCACAATAATTCATCCACAACTTCAGTTTCTCAAGAGCGTAGTTTTTCTACATTCGATTGACTGACTGGTATTCAAAAAGGAAACGATCAGAATCCAAGGAAGAAAAACTAATCTATTAGGATATTATATGTAGGTATAGTATCCCGCATATACAGAGCCCTAGTTCTACACATATCCCTAGTTCTTCTACCAGAGCAATTTATAAGGTTCGCCCGCTTGGCATGGAGTGCATGGAGCTGCATGGAGCTAAAGGGGGCGCTTCTTGCGTCCCTTAGAGGTCTGCACTCCATGCTACTCCATGCACCATGCGTGCTATAAACTGCTCTATTATATGTAGGTATAGTATCCCCAGTTCTTAATATAGGCTAGGTCTTCTAAATGTAGGTACAGAATCCAAATAGAAGAACTAGCCTGTAAGAACTAGTCTAGGACGATGAACAGTAAGGAAGGCAGCCTTAAATCATCAGAATGTGGCGGAACAGGTATCCGTGCTGGTCCCCGACCAGGTATCGTTGCCGGTCCTCCCTCTGGTTGAGTTGGGGCAGCTGCAATATCATGTTGATCGGAAGTCGCGCTTAGATTGTTCGTGTGGTCTTCTTCTCGTTGACTGGTATTAGAAGATGTTGAAAGTTATCATCTGTAATTATATACGAACTAAGCCCTTTCGTCCAAGAGACGTCCTAAGAATCTGTTTGGCCAATCTCATTGATGTTAGAATTACACGAAAAGTGTATGCCAAGTATTTGAAC